CATTAGACTTTATATGATAAATATATACTTTAACTGTAAAATAAAAACTGTAAAAATACTGTAGGATGTTTAGTTTTTATAACCCACTTATGAGGCCCCCGCTCAAATGGGTTTCACCCATCCGCATATACCATAATCATAACCACAAATACAAGTTGATCTAAATTGGGGAAAAAACATTTCCAGGGGGAAAAATAACCTGCAAAAAAAATAAATAAATAAAAATAAAAAATAAAAGGGATACAGATCAAATAGGTGACACATTGTAGTTTGATTCCATACTTTTTTCCTCCGAATTGAGTGATTCCATATTGTTTCCCTGTGCTTGGTCAATAAAAGTAACATTCACTGACTTCCACAAGTTTTCTCTTTATTTCTTTGAGTGTTCCTGAAAGCCAACATGTTTCACTTTGTAATGACCTTATTATTGTATCATGTTTTTGATCTGAGTTTGTTTTACAAAAAGAAACGTCTGAATGAGTGCTCATCCAAGACTGTGATTCCGTACTATTTGCCAGGGGTTGTAGATGATCAGTGTAGTTGGAGGTCTTCATGTTTTCCCATAGTTAGGAATTGCATTCAGAATCCAAGATGTCAAATGGCCTCTTACCCCTTCATAGTCATGTCTGATTCATAACTATCACAGTCATACCTTACCTTACCTTACCTTACTTGCCTTTTCTTTGGGAAGTTTAAAGCAGCTGAAGAAATTTTTATTAATGATTAACTGAATATTAGATGCGTTGTTGGTTAAATTGTGATTTAAAATGTTATGGTTCATCTAATTGTGATATATTAATGCTGTTGATCTGTGTTTATCTACTTTAACTGAATTCATGGCTTGTGGATGGGAATGTTGTGTGTAAAAACACAAACGTGAATGCTTATCCTTGTAATTTGTTTATTTAGCTTGTAGAGTAGAGTTACCTTTACGACCCACTATTAGACAGGTKGGTTGGGGTAAAGGAACTGCAGGTCCTGGGGACAACAGGAGATAACATGGTCGTAAACAGGAGGACACTTTGAAGGGGACCCTTTAAAAACCTGACTGTTGTACAGAAATTCAGTTCATGCTACTGACAACTGTATGTAAGTACCTTGTCTGTATTTTGGACTCCTTGTAAGTAAAAGAGCTCAACCAGATCTGCTGCTTTTTATCATTCCTTGTGTCTTGATAATTAATTCATCCAACAATTGTATTTCATACTTTCTGATCACTGCAGCCTTTAAGGTTAAAACAGAGTGAGAGTTGGTGTCTTATCTTGTGTCCTTTCTTTGGTCTAAACAAAAATGAGTTATGTTCTATGTCTGACATAAAAGGTAACACCTCCAGGGGTGTAACCAGGAAGATAAATACATTATAAAGGTCAATTCATTATTATAGTRGAAGGAAGTGTTTTTCAGAAGTTGTTATTGTGTTGCACAGTCTCTGYTCAGAGCAGGGCTGCGGGGTTTTGTTTCGGTTGTAGTTCATGGTCTTACACTGAGGCCTGTGCTGCAGTATGAACCTGATTGGAGTCAGAAGATTGAGAATAAAGTTTTAAGAAGAATCTAGTGGATTCCTGTTTTATTCGGAGATACCATTTGGGACAGCACATTTTTTCTACACAGCCATCCTCTCAATGGCCTCATGCAAGAACATGTTCATATTCTTATCCTAAATTTCTCTTACTTTTTTTTCGTACGAAGGGTTCGTACGAACATGTCACGTCAGACAAACTCCTATCTTCAGGAAACGTGCGTAAATGAGCTGCGTAAATTCCACCTGTTCTATCCAGCTGCTCGTGCACGCGAGAGGAG